TCCAGGTCTCGCCGGAGCAGCCCGGGGCAGGGGCTCTCGCGGCAGCGCCGGCAGCACACGTACTGCGGGACAACGCCGGCGATGGGAACCCTCCCGCCAGCACCGCAGCCCCCCCGCCTTGAGGGGAAAGTTGTTCACGTCCTTGTCTTTCCAAAGATGCTGCTCCGTAATCTGCACGTCCCCCCTTTGCCCCCCAAAGCAGCATCACTGGCACTGTCAGCAGAAGCACATCTTGGGGAGTGCTGCCCGGCAGCGTGGATGCAAACCCATGGACGAGGAACACCTACGAGGAGTCTTTTTCCAGGGAGTGATTACAACAGACTAGAGGAGAAGTAAAGCACACCTAATACAGCTCATAGGATTAGAACAGGCACCGTGGTTTCCTTGCCAGGACACTTCTAATCACGCCTGCATTTTTAATCCCTGCTAGCAGGAGAGAAACAACAGCACGTAATTACTTGCAAGCACAAGTTAACAGCTAGGTATCTTCTTGGTAAACACAGACATTCATTGGCTTCAACTGCCCAAAGCTCAGAAGTCGGAGTCACCCCATGCCAGCAGTGACTGCTGGTCAGCACTCTGGCGTACAGCAGAGACTCAGGTCTTGAAAACTCGTTTCGTAGCAAGTGTTCAGGCAGACGGGTTTGGTTCTCCCGCCTGTGCCACGCTACCCAGCTGCGATGGGTTAGCACCCGTTAGGTTAGGAGAGCTGAAGGTGCAGAACAGCACGCCGGGACCCCCCGAAGCCGCCTGCCCACGGCCACCAGGCTCCAGGAGCAGGACAGAGAGCTTTGGGAAGCCTCGCACGCGTCGCCCGGCCTCCAGCTACGGTGTGCCGCGCCGCGCCCTGCCCGCCCGCCGCAGACACAGGTAACAGATGCAGCCGCTTCCTCCCACCTCACCCCTGCACAGCACAAAATGACTACTTTTGAGTGTCAACACAGCTGTGAAACACCTCTAAGCAGGGATTTTCTCCTGTTCACCGGGTTGGTACACAATCCATACCAAGCACTGATTTTTCCAAACACCAAGACAAGTTAGAGCAGCAATTGATATATTTTACATGCTAAAGCCAAAGTAAGTTAAAGGCCGCGTTTTCAAAACAAGGTATTTAATTTCACTCTCATTACAAGAGTCATCACCCCTAACAAGGAAAGAAAGATAGCGTGAAGGCAACATACAAAACGTAACCGGATGAAAACTATCTTTTGTGCTCACATGTAGTGAGAGGAGTAATCTTCCTGGTAAAACTCATGAAGCTATGTTTTATTCCTAGCTTTGTAATAAGTTTCCTATTTGGAGTCAGACTAGCCGCTTGCAGTGAAATCCTGCTCCCGTTGAAGTCAGTGACGTATCTGTAACGGCATTAAACGAGGCTGAATGTCACCCTTCGCTCATCAGGCTGCCAGCTACAGAAAGAAAAGTATTACTCCGAGGAGCTGTGATGCCTCCGAGGTAGATCTTCTGAATGCGAAGAAAGGCCAGATGTGTATTTTGTCTGCACAGTTACTTGAAGAAAAATTGTTTTGTCAGAATTTGTTATCTACCTGAAAACACAGCCAGAAATGTGAGCTTTAAAAATAGCCTTCAGCAAAAACAAAGACTGACTTCAGACCAGAGTAATATCTTCAATATCTGCACTAAATAAAGCAAGATGGTAGCATACAATTCTTTCTTTTTTTATCTGCATAAACTATTTTCCTCTCACTTTGAAATTCTCTTGTGATATTCCAAGTCAGTGGAGTCCCCCATAAGCCTCAGATACTGAGGGATATCGCTGTCTGCAACAAACACCCAGCAGATCCACTGATGTCTCTCTCTCAGCTGTCTCTGATAAGCCAGGAGAGGCTGCGGCAAATCCAGAGGGAGGAACCACAGTCAGAGGACAGGAAAGGGGCCGAGTCAATTTTTATGGTATTTTTTTAAATTCAGTTAAAATTTATTTGGGGGCTGACAGTTCCCAGACTCCACCTACCAGGCCATTCGGTACTAAAGGCGGTTCTTCATCCACAGCTGATTTTTGAAGTTCACCTTTTGAAATCTGAAAGTATTTGCTACTTATCTTGGGACTGTTGCAACATTGGTTTGGACGAGGCATAACCTTGCCTTCACCGATTATTTGGGATACAAGGAAAATTAAGCTCAAATTATCGAAAGCAAATTAAAAGGTGATTCTCAGAAAAGACAAAAGAGGTAAGTAACACTGAGAAGTCATTCCTTAAGAGGGGTGCCTTAGTTGTCTGCTGAGCTGGGTCAATGCAAACGATTAAGCAACAACTTCCCAAATCAATGGAAAGGTTACCTGAAAATGCCGAGAAAGCGACAGGAACACAGAAAGGACCGTGTGATTATGGTTTCTAAGTTCTGATTAAGTATGTTCCATTTCTATCCCCTCCCGTGATTGCTACAAGAAGCGTTGCAGAGCCAGGTTAATGGTAGGCTTCCCCCTCTCCTCGCTGCAGTCGGACACAACGCCACGGCATCAGATGGGAGCGTCTCCCTGCGCCGGAGCCGCTCCCAGGAGCCGCTGCTTCCCCACCTCCTGTTACGGAGTTTGCTGGATGCTCCCGTTTGCTCTATCTCAATTCGCACACGTCGCTCAGAAAGAAAGATGTACACAGCTGGACAGGCAAAACGCACAACGCTAACGAAGAACATGGCAGTGAAGAATGCTATTTTTATGCTCAGAGACAGTGGAAGCAAAAACGCCGGTCTCAATGACATGAGAACTGTCAGCAGGCACAGATAATTACACAATGTGAATTCGTCCTCATGACAATGGGTCTAATGAGATAGGAAATGGAATAAAATCAATACTCTATTTACATTGACAGTACAGTCTCAAAGCTTGAAATGGCCAAATGGCTGTCTTTTAAATAAAGAAATAAAAAAATTATTGACTGCCTTACAGTATTTTCAAAACACCTCTGCCAAATTCAAAGTTTACCAATAACGTATCTCAACATAAAATTTGGAAAAGATACAGCAATTACTCCATGGCACATCTGAGGGATATAATTATAGCGCTGTCAAACGATTAAGCAGAAACAATGAGCTAATTAACATCTTGGCCACATAACAGTGAAGGACTGGTTAAAGAAAAATATTCTTTAGCGAACTACTGCTGAACAAACCAAACAGGTCTTGTTCTCTAGCTCTGTAGGAACGGTACCCGCTACACCGGTAACGGCAGCACGGAACAGCAAGCAGGCCCCTCTCTCAACTTCGCACTTCTGCGTCTATCGGGGGAAAAGCAGAGCGCCAAGGCGCAGCGCAGTGCAGCCAGCCCTGACGCGGGGCTGCGCAGGGCCTGACCACCCGAGACAGCCGTGTCTCGCCGCCCCCGCACCCAGCAACCCGCGGCACGAGCAGAGCGTGGTAAAGCGATGAGCACACACCGGCACTGACCCACCCAGCACGCCCCACGGCAGATTTGTAAAATGCCTGCCAATGCTACTTCTACAACCCAGATATTCTGCATAATATACACAGTTCTAGCAGCAGCAGTCCTAGTGGTAGTGTTCAAAGTGTTACCTCAGTACCGCTTAGCTCCGACAGAGCTGCTGGGGCAGGCAGCACAGCCTCCCACTGGCTTCAGGGGGCTTCACTGGCAGAGCCGCCCGCATCAGACAGATTTTCACCTTGGGTGTATTTCACAGTTTCTGAAACCGTTTTAGCAGA